GGGTTGATGCTTGTAAACTGCTCGTAGCAAGTAGCTTTATTAGCTAGTATGTAGAACCCTTAGGAAATGAGTACTTCTCAGAGATGTCTTGCAGGTGTCGCTGGCTTTTGGTCTTCGAATCTGTGGCAAGATTCTACTCCTTCAACTTACTGGAGATAAATTGCTGCCTAGCCTCTGGTTCTTTGGCACCAGCCTATAGTATTGTTTATAACCCTTAGAAATCTCAACCTAAAAAAAAAAAGAGAAGAAATCGCAGCCTTAGCATACCAGGAAGAAAAACTGATTAGAACAATTATGTCACCTTGACTGAAGTAGTACAATCAGCAATAACAATAGCATCAAACATCCCAGAAAATTACAAACTGTGGTGACTATTGGCTTGCTAACTTTAACCATATGACTATTTTGTGGCTCTGTAATGAAATCTAAAACAAACCAGAAAATTGTGTACACTAAATAAGCCCACAATATGGTGATTTTACCCTCAGGGGGGGAAAATTTAAAAGGGGTTGGGGGAAAAATGAAGAAGAAGAAGAGGAGGAGGAGGAAGAGGAAGAAGAAGAGGAAGAGAAGAAAGAGGAAGGGGAAGAAGAAGTGATTAGAAGCAAGGCTGGAAGACAAGGGAAGAGTACAAGAACTTTGAGCAACCAGTGGAGAAGAGAAAGAGAGAAGGAAGAAATATAAACAAGAATAGAACAGAACAACAAAAAACAAGAACAACGTTCACACTCATAAAAACAAGCACAAACATCAAGAACAAAAAAAAAAAAAAAGAAGATGATGAAGAAAGTTGAAAGAAATGTCCACCTCAAGGTGTGTCTCTGCCATCACTGGCAGACAGAGCCCAGACCCGTGTTGATTAATCCCAGCAAGCCAATCACAGATTTATGGCAGGGTAGGGGATAATCCCAGCAAACCCATACCTTTAGTTCCACTGAGTTCAGGCTGGTTTCTAGCTCTATGGTTGGAACCTAATTTGTTCAACCTGCATTACTCCGTGTGCCTCCTGCTGGCTTAAACTTGGCTCCCTGACCTCTTGCTGACTTGAATTTGCTTCTGCCTCACCTGGACACTGAGAGCCACTAGATGGAGCCAGCAGATGCTCTGAGTTCTGGGCTCAGTTGGCCTCTCTCCAAGGTGGCTACCGGCCGATGACCCTCTCCTGGAGGATGTCTGAACCCAGATAACTCACCAGCCACTGCAGTTTGCTGTGTCCATCACTCTGTTCCCCTGGTGCATTTTTCTGTGGAGACTGCTGGGGTTGCCAGTAATCATCAGGTGTCTGCAGGTTCAGGCCATTCGTCCCAGGTAGTGAGTCAGGGCTCAGGGAGAAAGTGCTGCTCACCACCCCCTTCTTCTTTGTTGGAGTCTCTCTTCACTCCCCTGTGGGCTTCAGTTCTTGCTTCAGATCCTTGCTGGGTCCTGAGAACCAACTTCTCTCCTTTTTCTCCTCACATTGCTATATATCAGTGTCTGGACGCCAGATCTCAGAGAGGCTATTTTGTTCACAGTTCACCACTCTGCCATTTTCCTCTAGAGAGTTTTAAAGCAAACCCTGCTATTATTTCACCTCTAAATTCTCCCTTGTGAGTTCCTAGACACTACTTCACATATGAACCCAAACAAGGGCCACATGTGTTAGGGTGTGCCTCTTAAATCTTTCAGTCGATGGTAGCCCTTCTCTCTTTTTCCTCCATCCACTGTTCTTGGAAGACACTGGGCTATTTGTCCGTGGCATGCCCAGCATTTGTGGCTTTTTTGTGGCGTCTTGAAGCTCCCTCCTGTGTGCCTCCAGTTACGGCAAAGGGTCGGTGGACACAGGGCTGTGGAGGCAGCCCCTCTTGGTGCTCCAGGTCCTGCTGCAGCTCCCTCCTGTCTCCCTGTGGATCTTCTCCCTTTCCATGGCTGCTTGGCCCTCGAGCTTCCTCCTTGCTCCCTTCTGGGCCTTGCACTAAACACAACCCAGATGCTGGTGACCCTGAGGTTTAGGTCTCCAGCCACTCCCTCCCATCCTGGTGTAATGTGACCTGCGGGGCGGTTGGCATTTTCCCACACCTGCTCCTTCCTAGCTGTCTTCAGCACTAACCCACTGCTGACCAAGTTGTTCAAGTCCAAGAACTCAGCTTGAAAGGAGCTCCCCTGTTCCTTACTTTCGCTCAGCTCCACATCTAATCCATCCATGTGTGCATCCTCACCCTCCGTGGCAAATTCAGCTACTCCTCATTCCCTATCTGGTCCTGGTCCAAGCTACCATAACTTCTCTCCTGGATACCTTCCGTCATCCTTGGGATGCTCCCATTTCTTCCATGATTGCCTCCATGGATAAGGAACTGGCATTCCTGGGGGCACAGGGCAATAGGGTGAAGAGTTATGAATTTTGCAGAGAGCCTCAGATTTATAAGATGAAAAGTAGAGATGACCGAAAGTAATGGCTGCATGTTAGAATATATTCAATATCACTCAACTGTATATTTTAAAAAGTTAAGATGATGTATTTTATGTTTTGTGTATTATCTTAGTCACTTTATTATCACTGGAATCCAATACTTGACAACAACAAATTAAAGGAGGAGAACTTTGTTTGGCATCATATTTTCAGTTTATAGTTATCTGGCTCTGAGGTGGGACAGCATGGCAGAGAGGCCTGGCAGAGGAGAAGCTGCCCACATCATGGCGGCCAGGAAGCAGAATGTGAAGTGAGCAGCCAGGGAGGCAGGAATACCTTCCGGGTCACACCCTAGTGACCTGGCTCCTCTTCCCAGACCCTGCCTCTTAGGAGGTCAGGTATAATGCCCCGTAATCCAGTCATCTTCCACACACATGAGGCTCTGAGGACCATTCTTGATCTAAACCCTAACATGTATTTTACAACTTAAATTTTTGAAAACCACATGAGGATCGTGTTAACCTCTGTACTCAGAATCCTCCAATAGCTCCTTGGAAGAGGAAGGGTGAGTCCTAAGGGACCTGCACAAAGTCCTGATGCCCTCAGTCTTGCCTTGTCTCTCATTCTCTTGCTCACTGTGCTCTGGTGACACCAGTTGCCTGGGTTTGTCCTGTGGGCCCTGGATTTGTCCTCACACACCCTGTACTCCCGTGTCGCATCCCCACAGGACTCATCCTGGATCCTCAGGGAAACCACACTCCCATAATTCCCCTGTCCTCAGCTGCTCTGTTCTTCACAACGCTGATCCCTGTCTGATATCTCATCATATAATTCATGTTTATTACACTCAGAGCCTTCTGTGGCATAAAAATGAACGGGCCACCGTGAACCCCGGGCTCGGTATTTGGAAGGGAAGGAAGAGAAGATTCTTCAGTGTTGCTGAAGGTGACAAGACAGGCCGATGCCCAGCTGGGATGGAGAGCCCAGAGCTGAGGCTTGAATGACTCTGGCTCCGGGGCATCTGGGCCTAGTCAGATGCTCAGCTGGGCAACATGGGAGGGTTTTCCCACACCCCAGCTCTGCCCTTCCTACCCTGGGCCTCCCACACAGTGACCTTGGAGCCTGCAAGAAGGGGACTCTTCTGAAATGACAGACCTGAATGGCCTCCCCTCCAGCTCGAAGGCCTTGGGAGGAGGCTGGGAACCGCCCAGAAGCAGCAGCCCTCTTGCTTTTTCTGGGTTGGGTGGGCCACTGTGCAACTGGCTCAGACATTCCCAGGTCCCCATGGACACAGTAGCCAGCATCCGGGCCTTCCAGGGCCACAGGCTCCCACTGCCCTGCCCAGTCCAGCCCAGCTGAGCAGCACACTTGCGGGCTTCCACCCTTCCTTCCCTCTGGGTGGAGGGACCGTCAGCAGCCCTGCTTCTCCCTGGGCACTTCAACTTGTCAGTCTTCTCATGCCTCTCTCTCTGAGCCCAGCCCCTGATGATGCGTCAAGGACTGGGCCAGGCCTGCCACCTGGGGGACCCTTGGCTGGCCTATGTAGGCCTCTGGGAGAAGATCTAGGAGGCAGCTACTGGGATCAAAGTTGTGGATCCTGGGAGAGGCTCCCTTCCTCTAGCGGCCACACACCCATCCCCAGCAGCTGCCCCTCCTGCCCAGGCAGGAAGCCTTCATAACCTCTTTCCTCTGATCAGCCCTGGGGGAGCTATCCAGATGGCCTTGGAAAATATTTTTTCTGAGGGGCAGGAACAGGAACAGGAGGATGGGCCTGAGCTCACACTGTGGTGGGACTTGAACCCACACCCACTGATGGACTGTGAAAGATTAAAGAGAGGGCTGAGCAGTGGTGGTCGTGTCCAGCAGAGCCTAAGCAGCTACCCTGAGACTCCCTCTGTCCGCACAGGGAGCACTGGGGGAAGGAGGCCGCCCCCTCTTTAACACAAACCTGTCCTTCACCCCAGTAGAATCTGTTCTGTTCAGTAACAGGGCAGAGAATCATCCTCATGTCCCCCTATCCTATTTTTGTTTTGTGCTGGTGGGGACTGAACTCAGGAACTCATGCATGACAGGAAAGTGTTGCTACCTCTACTTTCTGGATGGGCTGATCAGCCCTGGGGCACCTAGCTGGCTGGAGTAAAGGCCTGAACGCAGGGACTTGTTCCCCGAGCAGGGAACCTTATTCACCACCTTGCTTCAGGTGTTAGAGCCTTTGCTAAACAGCATCTCCTGTCCTGCTCATTCCTGACTGGGCTGCCCACGACCTTCCTAATGCCTTCCCTTTCCTTGAGTTTAAGCCCCATCTGCTGGTATTTCTGGGGGCCTCCACCAGGAACTGGTGGTGGTCAGTTGCCATCTCGCAGGGCCCAGCACTCACCCAGGAGCTTCTGCTCTAAAGAATATCACCTGCTGCACAGCAGAGGAGGCAGTGTCACCTCCCCTCTCTAGCACACCAGGCAACACTTGCCTTCATCATCGGGGCGGGGTCATGGAAGGCTTCGGGGTTGAGGGAATCCCGGAGCGGAGCGGGCAGCTCCGGCCCCAGCAACAAAAGCTACACAGTGAGGTGTGGCACTCGAGCCTGGTGACTTCGGATGCAGAGGCACAGGCTGGCTGAGGTTGGGAGGACTTGTTTATTCAAGGCACAGTCATAGCATTGATAACAAGAAGGTTCAGCATTCTGGCACATTCCTTAGTGGTGGTGGCCAAGGTTAGTCCACAAGCCCTCCAGGGCCCCCAGAGGATGCAATGCTGCTGATAGGCACTTTGCTTCCAGAGGCAGCTGAGGGACAGGCAGGCAAGGCTGGATCTGCTCAGGGCCTGGGAGGGCCCCTGGGGGGGGGGGGCTCTAGGCCATATGGACTTCTCCAAGAGGCAGCTCCCTCCAGAAAGGATCAAGTAAGTGAAGGGGTAGGAAGGGTGGATGGCGGTAGGCAGAGGCCAACAGGTATGAGCTGGGGGCCAGGCAGGTGCCCTGGAAGGGCCTGGATGTGAGGTGAATGTGGGGAGCTAAAGAATGCCCCCCACATTCCCAGTGACTATGGAGGTTGAGGTACAGCTAGCTGGGCAGGGCCCTGCCTGTGACCCTAGGCCTCCAAGAAGAGGAGAGAAGCAAGTAGAGACTGGCACTTTCCCACTGGGAACAGGTGCTCGCAAGTGGTGTCCAGGGAAGGACAGGGCTCAGGCCCACCTCTGGCAGCAACCCCAAACCCCTTACATACCTAACATACCTTATGGGGTTGGGCCCAGCCTGCAGGTGGCAGTCCCACTTTAGTCAGAGCTGGGGCTGACTGAAAGGGTCCTACGCCCCTGTGGCATGAATGGTGTGTATGGGCCTGGCTGGGTGTTATTTCCCCTTATTCCAAGCCGTGCCCAGAGAGGAAGATAGCCTCCTTCCCAGCTGATCCAAATTCTCTGGAAAACTCCCCATGTCGAGGTTTGAGGCACCAACTGCCCTTTGAGCAGCTACATCTCAGCAGGGGTGAAGTGTGGAGCTGCCAGTGCTGGGATCTAAGCAGAGGTGGAGCAGGGTGGGGCGTAGGTGACCTGCCCTCAGGCCACCTGTTACTGGGACAAGGTGGAGACTCTCAAGGGAGAAGTGCTGGGCCACCTACAGCAAGTCAGTGACCCAGACTCTGAGGAGGGGTCTCAGTCTCAGGGGGCTGAGGAGTGCAAAGATCCCATGCAACTTGATCCTTTCTCCATGTCCGCCTTGGCTGAGCTGTACTGGATCCTGATGGCAGCCTATCCCAGGAGGTGGCGGCTGGTGTCATCGGGCCACAGCAGAAATGCTAAGAATCACCAGCACTGTTCAGGATTCAGCCCCTCCAAGCCTCTGGTGAAGGCAGCCCTGGGAGGGCATCTTTGTCCCCTTAGCAAGGGCTTCTCTATGGGGAACACACCTGTCACCCCACCTCCAGCAGGACTGGGTTAACATCATCGTGGGAAGCCAGGGAACCCCAGAGGCTTCTTAGGTAATCCTTTGCAAAGATGAAGAGAGGCAAAGAAGGCTCCTTACTTGGGCAGTAAAGAATGGCCAGAACCTTTAGTCTGGGTTTGTTACCCTTAGCAGCTGCCCACACTGGCCGAGCTGAGGCCCAGCACTCAGACAGGAAGGCCAGGGAAGCTCAGAGGCTCCCTCGTTGGCCCTAGGGTCTTCTATCAGCCTGGGGTTTGGGAACGTGTATTGTTTTCCTAACATCCAGCCTTCTGGGGAGAGGCTCCCACCCTGAGTACGGTCTCTGTCCTGCCCCACTTTACAGTAACCAGCACAAACTTGCCCTGGCTCCTTTAATACCACTCCGGCCTTCTTTAAGGAGCCCAAGTGGCTGGGTCCACGTAAGAGTAGAAAAAAGGGGCTTTGCCTCACTGCGCTTGGGGACATGTGAGGACGGAGGAAGGGACTCAGTCTCCTCTTCTTAGCTGCCCCTTGTTGGAAAGGTAGGGTACAAAGACTCCAGTTTTCCCGCAGGAGAACCTGGGATGAGACCATCCCTTATGACTTGTCACTGAGGCCCAGGACCTCGTAGGAGCTTTGCTTCTCAGACCTCGGGGAAGCCTCAGGGCTGGAGCAGCAGCAGCTCAAAGGACTGGAGAAAGGTACGGAGACCCCGAAAGCGTTCCATGGCTTCTTACTGCCTCCTTCCTGTGTGTACTTCCTCTTTGATCCACTCAGTCTCTGTGTCTTGGGCTTCAGCCACCTCCCCAAGACACAGGGTGTGCTGCGTCCATGCCATCTTGGGGTTCCTTGGCACCGCTGGGCACCTCCATTCTAGCTGGTCAGCAGGCTGTGTCTTCACAAGGCTATGGTTGAGGAGCAAGTGTCTCCGTCAGGGGCTCCCCAAAGTCTGCAGGAGGGAGCAAGGAGGCCCAGGCCATCCTTTACCTCCCCTTGCTGGGGTCTCCCCTGCCCCTGTCTGGAGTCCTGGTCAGTGGTATTGGCTCTGGCCCTCCAGTTCCAGCCCTTCCTGGAAGTGGGCCGAGTCCAGCTCCCTTGCAAAGCCCCTCAAACCGCTCTCCTCTTCTTCCTCCGGCTGGTTGTTGATGGTACCGTAGGTGTGCCGGGCTGGGGAGGAGGCTGGGGTGAGGTTCATTTCCGGCTCTTGCAGCACAGTGGCCACGTACAGCTGCCCAGGATAGAGCAGGGTAGGGAGAGTCACATTTGGAGCTAGGCCCAGCCACACCCTCTCCTCTCACCCCGTCACCTCTGCCCCACCAAGCCATGGGCGCCTCCTTCTTCCCCTCCTTCCCTAGCAGCCTTCGTCCTGCCCATCTCGCCCACCTACTTACTCCTGGTCACTGAATGACCACCTACGAGCTCCCAGGGCTAATTTAGTAGCAGCTCTCTAACTCCCAGGCCACTGTTCCTTCAGAATGTATTGCATTCATTCTCAGTTCCCAGGCCGGGTGCACCCAGAAGCAGAAGACGCAGGGTTCCCCTGGGCTGGGGTCCAGAGAGACCTCTACTGCAGAGGCAATGACATTTCTAATACAGCATAGAAGCACAGCCACAGCTCCTTGGGGGTGTCATGGAGGTGGCCTGTGAATCACGATTTGAAAGACGGACTGCTAGCTGAGAGCTGGGTTGTATGTCCTGTGGAACCCGGGAGGGATCCCAAGAATGCCTGGGGGGAGCAGCAGATTAGAGAAATATAGAAATAGGGAAAAGAGCAATTTGTCACTCTGTAAGTGGCTTTTAAAGTAACTCCTTACTTTGGAAACAAGTAATTAGCCATAGAATTATACATTTCTGTAGTTTGTTGTTATTGTTGTTGTTTTTAGTGAAACCAAATAGCCCCAGTGATGAAACAAAATTTTCCTACAAAAAAATTTTAGACATTTGCATGGTACCAAACTGCATAGGTAACAAACTTTTGGTCATAAAGAAACTAAAAACAGGATAATGGAAAATCCAGCCATCTCTGCCCAAATCGGGGTGGGTGGGGCTGTTAGCATTATTAATTGGAATAACTGGGATGCTATTTATCCCCTAGTGTGAGGTATAGTATTCCTTGGAATTCATTCAATCCATGTTGGACTTGAACATGTCAAGGATTTGGGATTATCTAGTTTCAGGGAATGCAAGGGTGGGGGAAACAGCCGTGAATCACAGGGAAGTTACAGCCAGAAGATCCAGAATATTCTGCAAGAATGCTGGCTCTGAAATAGGGACTGTGCTAAAGTAAGAGGGCCCCAACCTCCAGCTGACAGCTGCTGGGTTAGCTTAGCACAGGTACTGGTTGGATCTTGGTTTGGACAAACTGTCACTAGGGATGATGGCACACTCCTGCAGGCTGGGAGATTCAGGCAGAAGGACTACACGTGCAAGCCCAGTGTGAGCAGCACTATGAATTAGCAAGACCCTGTCTCAAAATTAAAAACTGGAAAAAAAAAAAAGGGCTGGGAACGTAGAGTATAAAGTCCCTGGGTTCGATCCCCAGTATTAAAATGATTTCTGGAATAACTAGGACAACTTCAATATGAAATGTGTATTCAAGGGCTGGGGATTTAGCTCAGCGGCATAAGCACCTGCCTTGCAAGCAGGCAGTCATGAGTTCGATCCCTGGTACCGATAAAAATGAAAAAGACAAAAAAAAAAAAAAAGAAATGTGTATTCAAAAAGATAAAAATATCAGGTTATAAAAACGTGTTCAGTATTATTTTGCTTCAGCAAAAACTATATGGAGCTGGGCGTGGGGCATATCCCTGTGATCCCAGCATTCAGGAAGCTGAGGATCACCAGGAGTTTGAAGCCAGCCTGGGCTACATAGTGAGACCCTGTCTCAAAAAAATAAAAACAAAATCTTAAAAACTATATGTACATAGGTAACTATATATGTACGTAAACAAAGCAGAACTACCTGGAAGAGATACACGCACATAGAAATACCTGGAATAATATACTCAGGGCATCAGGGATCATCCAGGTGATGTGAATACAAAGTTTTTATTTCCTTATTCGTGCTTTTCTGATTTTAATCCCAAATAACCTACAATGTTCATATACCACTCTTGTAATAATAAAAGACTTATTTAAAAAAATTCTAAGCTGGGTCCGGTGGCACAGCCTGTAGTCCCAGCCACTCTGGAGGCTGAGGCAGGAAGGATCACTTGAGCCTGAAGTCCGGGTCCAGCCTGCCCAACATACCGAAATCCTGTCTCAAAAAATAAATACATAAATAAATAAATAGAAAATAAATGTTGCTGTTGGGGGGGGGCTTGGTTTTGTTTTTTAAAAATACAGGCCTTATCGTCAGACAAACGTGGTTCAAACTGTTCTTTTACTCTATTGCTTAATGCCCTGGAGTTTAAATATCTAGAATGCTTAGGTCCTGGATCCCCACCATTCCCCTGATGATGATGATGATGATAATAACAACCATAATAATAATAATAATAATAATAATCATCATCATCATCTTTTAAGCCTCTCATTGGGGATAAAGGCCCCTATTGTGTGATTTTATCAAAATATCAAGAAAGAAAATTGCAAAGCATCAGATTCCTATGATTTCAATAACGTGCTGCTCACAGTAGCAAAGCGCTCATCTCGGAAGGGTCCAGGATGAGCGTCTTTCCTGCTTTGAAGTCTTGGTCTCCCCGCTCCTCACCTCTCAGGAAATTTGTAGGGTTTTCCTTTCTCAAGGGAGTGAACCTAGAGTTCTGACCCCCCTGTCTGCACCCGTGGGTGAGGTGTCCCTGTGTTCCCTGTGGACTTCTCTCTGGGGACCTGCCCCAGCCCTGCCCGTCACTAAGGCGAGCCTCGTGTCCACCGAGCGGGAAACGCACCCATTTCCCCGCGCGCCAGTCTCTTGCGGTCTAGTTCTCCAAAGCTCTTCCCACGCCCCGTGTCACCTGGCACCCTCCCTCCCTTCCCGGAGGCTCAGGAGATGTTCCCTCCTGGGCGCAGGGGGGCGCCCTTCTCCAGGGCCCCTCGGGGCGCCCGGCTGTGGGGCCTGGCAGATCCGGTGCTCAGCTCGGGGCGCGCACCAGTGGCGCGATGCTGCGGGGCAGCGAGGGCCTGGGAGCCCACGTCCAGCCTGCGGGGCGCCCGGGCCAAGTCCAGCCCCGACTTCTGTGCTGCCCTTGCCTTACCATTGGGTGCGTCGCCAATAGCTCCTTGTAGGTGGGTCTGCGCCTGCGCTTGCGCCTGTGCCCTGGAGGCAGCCCGGAGTCCCAAAGCCAAGCCCCACCACGCCCCAGCGTCTACAGGACTGTGGTCTCTGAGAGGCGGATCCCCCTGTCCTTCCTCTTTTGCTGCCTCGTTGGTCTTGCAGTGCCCGCCAGGGAAGTTTGGGTCTTTGCACCTGGCTCTTCAGCCAGGTCCCCAGCAGCGTTTGGACCTGAGCTAAAACCTGCTGCGTCAGGAGGGGGCGCCTGGGGCCCTGAACGCTGATGCGCCCATCACTGGTTAGGCCCCCCTGCAGGCCCTGCCCTCCTCATGTTCCCAGGGTGAAGGAAAACTCACAAGGGAGGTGGGGGTGGAGGACGTGCTGCTCGGCTCCATGTCAAACACGGTCTGGGTCTCCTCCTCGGGCTGCAGCAGAGAGACAGGCTTGAGTGCGTCAGGGCTCGGGTCGCTCTTCACCCACACGTATACTGCCCCTGCCACCCTGGCACTCAACTTCTCTTCTGTCTTTCCAGACCTCAGCCCAGAAAACAGGGCAGAAGCCCAGGGGAACAGGGAGAAGGCTGGGGTGCTGGGAGGTTTTCTGGAATGTGCTTCCCCCACGCACCATGACACTGGAAGTAAGCAAAGTTGGACTTGGGGTACAAAGATAGTGCTGCTTTGACATCTGTTTGTTTCTTTCTGGGCCGTTCCCTCCACTGTGTCTGGAAGGAGGCCTAAACTAATCCGGTCCATGTTCACTGCTACCTTCCTTCCCTAAAGTGACACTCAGGCAACCACATCCCATGACATCACTGTATAAGAAAGACGGCTAGCTGGGTTTGACATGTGCCTGTATTCCCCGCACTCTTGGAGGCTGAAGCAGGAGGACTGCAAGTTTAAGGCCAGCCTGGCTACATAGTGTTTTAGCAAGACCCTCTCTCAACATTTAAAAATAAATAAATAATAGTTTGGGGGTAGAACTCAGTGCAAAGACTCTGGGTGCAAACCCCAGTACTGGGAGAAAACAAAACAAAACAAAACAAAACCAAAAAAAACTGAGAAAATGCAAAAAGACAAGCTGGCCCTTCAGCCAGTGATGGAGCAGCAGAGGTCAAGCGGAAAGTGTAGCAGGTGTCTTTGCCCAGGGTCCCAAATACAGAGACAAGAGAAGCAAGAAGGTAGCTGTCTAAAATCCTCATTCTGCCAACTCAGCAGGGCGTCAGCATTGAGAGCCAACGTCCTTTTCTTTAAATGCATTCATTTGAAAGGAAGAACATTCACTGTTAGTAAACCTGTACCCGGTTGCCTTACACAGAAACTTAACTAGAAAACTAAATGCAATTTTGCTGCATTCCAGTGCCCCAGGACCACTCTGGGAAATGCTGGTACAGACACACAGTGTGGCTGTGTGGTTCTGTGTGTCCAGGGTGGCTCCCTTCTCCCAAGTGTCAAAAAGCCACAAGGCCTGTGGCAGGTCACCCCCAGCTGCACAGGCACAGGCTGACCACTCATCCTGCCTTCGCCACTCTGCTCCATCCTCTGCCTCAGCTCACGGGCCCTCAGGCTGGGGCTCACAGCTCAGTGCCTGGCCTGCACTCACATGGTAGGGGAACATGCCAACCGCCTGCTCTTTGGAGGAGGTGTCCGGGTAGAAAGAGAGGACAGCATATGTGGCGGGGGCCAGCTTGAGGAGTGCCAGCCTGCACCCTGCACACTAGCCCTCAGCAGGAGAGAAAGGCCAGGCCCTCCGGTCCTGTGCTGCTCTGCAGGCCCATGCCTGGAGGATGTCCCAGGGCTGTGTGTCCCTGGGTCAGGAGAATTCCTGGAGAAAGGGCAGTCTGGCAACTCACCTCATAGTCAGCAGATGCCTTCAGCTTGCCCAGAAAAATGCCAAGAAAGGCAATTATCATGGAAGCGACAAGGGAGGACAGTGAGAATAAGGTGATGCTGTGGAGGTAACCTGCGGAGGAGAAGGAAAAGCCTGGCTGTGCAGCCCCAGCACCAGACCTGGGCGGGACGTCTGGCGGCTAGACAGTTGGCAGATGTCTAGGGACATCTCAGCACCTCCACAGGAGCGCGGGGCACAGAGCTCCTCCCCCAGGTCCCCTCCAAGAACAGTGGGGTCAATGAGCCGGATGCAACATTATCCTTGTGCTAGGTGGTCAGTTTAAGAATTTGGCATCGGGATTCCATTAAAAAAAAAAGTTCTGTTGCCGTAAATGTCCCCGTCAATGCCCATCCGCATAGTCTTCTTGTTACCTCTGTTACCATGGTTCTGGGGCAGCATCTCGGAATTCCCATCTCTGCCTTGGCCCAGACTTGGTCTTTAACCCTCCCACCTTTCCCTGCAAACCCAGTCTGGGCTTATAGCACTGAAAAGCAATCCGGAATTCAAAAGTCATTTACATTTCAGGTGGAACTAGTCTGTTTTTTTATGGTGGCAGTTTTCTAACTAGACGAGGATGGAAAATCACTCTTTATAGTCAAAGGTGATTGCTAAATGATGCTCACTGCGGTGGCTGCAAAACAGCACAAAAGGGTAAATGGCTAAGCATCCAGCGGGGGAGAAAATGGGTAGCTTTTAATGCAGCTGTTGAGAGGCACATGCTCAACAGTCTCCCAGTAGCACAGGAAACTGCTCAGAACATAACGTTCTGCGGGGCTCACAGTCTGGTAAAGCACACGTGGATCACCCCCTCCCTCTTGATTTGTTCCTCTCCTCGGGGCTGATGCTGAGGAGGTCTGGGAGTAACAGATACGGGGCTGCACGTATGATTATGCGTGGCTTAAATTTTGATCTTCACATTGTTCCATTTTTCCTAACAAACATGAAGTGCTTTATCCTCGGAAAAAGGCATTATGGAAAAGCTTGTCTGCTAGGTGGCAGGGAAAGAAACAGGGGTGACCACAGATGAATAAGCCATACAAATAAATGACCGAGGGTTGGCTCTTTACTGATGTCCCTGTGACTAAGGGTAAAGGAAATACTGCCTCTTCCTCCCCACCCCACGGATAAGGTTAAGATCAAGTGTCACAAGGGAAGGGCAGGGGCTGCCTGGTGACATGGGCGACTCTGATGGCAGGAAGCTGAGGGATGCCCTGCCTGTGGCCTGTGGGGACTGCTGTGAAGGTGTCTTTGGGTTCCCCAGGACAGGGACAGCAGCTTCATGTAACCAAAGAGTAAGGGAAGAGTAAAGGTGCAGGAATCTGTTTCCTCTTCTAGGTTTCGGCGAACTCATAAAACCGGGCATCCTACAGGGATCCCAGAGGAAACACCCGGGAAACGAGCGCCCCTCCCCACCGCTCCATTACTATACTCTTTCTGGTCAGCCTGGATTTAGAGTGAAGGAATATAAAGTTTCTTGCCCAGACCAAAATCAATGCAATTTGGACCCCACTTGGCCTCAAAGCTCTGCTCAGATGCTCATCCATGACCTGTGTACCCTGAGAGGTCCCTGGACTTGGCCATGTCTGAAGAGCAAGGCCTAGCTCTCCCTGCCTCTCCCCACTAACAGTGTTGGTGTTGAGGGACTCACAGAGCAGTAGGAGGGGATAAGGAGGCGTCACCCAGCACCTACCTACTCGCAAGATGGAGAAGAAGAGCATCCAGAAGAGACCCAAGAGTGGCGCGAAGATGGCCTGGGAGACCGCGGCCATGTGGATCTGCTCACTCAGTTTGGTGGGTGCATAGGAGTAATACATGTTATATCGGTCTGTGAGGTGCTTCATGCACAGGTAGAGCAGCCCTGGGCACCAAGGATGGATGCAGTCAGTGACCATTCTGACCATCCAGACCTGAGCTGCCCCATGGTCCACAGGTCCGGGACATAGCCTGGCAGCTCAGTGAAAAATCATACACTTATGCATTCATTCAACAGACTCCACTTTCAGCAGCCATCCAACCTCAGCTCCCTTGTCCCGGCCCTGCCCCTGCCCTGATACCTCCCTACCACAGGCTGTCAAGGTCACCTCTTGCTCTAGGAGGTGGCATGGTGTCCTGGAACTCCATTCCTGCTCCTAGGCTGAGAGAGGCACCCTAAGTGTGCCTGAGAGATGACTCACCGAAAGGGACAATGATGGGGCAGGTGATGCTGTACGCCATCACCACGGTGAAGACATTCATCATCCAGGCATACTCTCGCCCATACTGGAATTCTATAGCCTGCTTCTGGAGAGGAAGGTAGGAGTCACTGGCGGTTTCCTGGCTCCCTTGGCTTGGTGGCTTCTGTGGCTCCTCCCTGAGCTGCAGCTCAGACCTCAAGGCAGCCTCCCTTCCACCCCCAGAGTCCACAAAGCCTGCACTCAGGGAAAGGCGCGCCCTCACCTTCCTGATGTGGAGTCTCTCTGGCTCCGAGCGGGAGAAGAAGAGGCGGGTGCTGTACACGAAGAGCGACCCCAGGCGCATGAGCTCCATGCCTGTGCCCAGCAAAGCAGCCGTGATCACATAGTTGATGAAGAAGGCACCGTTGTCGGGCAGGAACACGCACCTGAGAGAATAGAAGACAGTGACAAGCCAGGGGGTACAGGAAAGGGGAGGAAGACAGAGAAAAACAGCAGGGAGAGTGGGGTTACAGGTGGGAGTAAAGTTCCACGCACAGTCACGTGCCCCGTACGCAACACGCCAGTCAGCTACGGGCCACATACACAGTGTGTTCCCATAAAACTACATCCCCAGTGGGGCTGCAGCCATGTGAGTTTGCATGCGGACATCTGTATGATGTTTGCACAGCAAGTTCTCAGAGGTCTCCCCTTTGTAAAGTGATGCATGACTGTGTGTGTGTGCAAGCGCACTCATGTGTGTCCTCAGCCCATTTAAGCTAACAAACAGCTCTTCTGAGTGGGTGTGACAGGAGATGTGTGCACAGCTTGCTCCAAAACAACAGTGTCTGACCTCAGTCCTGAAGGTCTAAAACCTTAAATAGGAAAAGATACTTTTATAATTTTCAGTAATCTTTAGTTGAAATTTAGTATTTCTTTCCACTAAGAGTGTAGGCAACTGCTGGGTATGCTGACACATGCCACCTCCTCAGGAGACTGAGCATCAGAAGTATGAGCCCAACCTGGGCAACATGGTGAGAGCCTGCCTCAAAATAAAGTAAAAAGAGAGAGAGAGAGACAGAGAGAGACAAGAGAGAGATAGAGAGACAGAGAGAGGAAGACAGAGAGACAGATACTAAGACAGAAAGAGAGACAGAGACAGAGAGACAGGGAGAGAGACAGAGACAGAGAGATAGACAGAGACAGAAAGAAAGAGAACTGGAGATGTAGTTCAGCATTCCCTGGATTCAATCCCCAGTATTGCCAAAAAAGAAAAAAAATTTAAGAAGTACAAAATCATGGAATGTTAGCCACTGTAACTTTGTCACCAACTGTGAAATCTTACCCATACCATTTGTGTACATCAGCATTTCAATGGTAATTGTCACCATTTAAAAATGAAGGCAGGAATGAGTTGTGTTGCTAAGTTACACATGATTAAAGATCTCCTATCTACAGACATGTGCTTGGCATAGCTGGGTAACTTCATCTGGGAGAATTCATTCACCTGAGTGTTGTCTTTAATGCACAAAACACATGGGTTGCAAAGGAAACCAATCACACTAAAATATAGTCATCGAAGTATTTTAAAATTTGGTGGCCCAAGCATCTCGGTTGCTTCCTGGTATCCCCATTTATACAACTATTAACTTCCTTAAAAACAGACAACTGAGCCCAGGAACACATTTCAGAACTCCTTTAAGAAAAACCAAACTATTGTTTCTTGATGAGGAACCCAAAATATAAGTAAAGAAAGGTAGACCTTTCTCAAATGGCAAGTGGACCAAGAGATGAAGGGAGAAGGTCACGAAGGAGAAGGGACGGAGCAAGGCTGTGGGAGACACAGTGACCCTCTTTGAATCCAAAACAATTACTGTGACTTTGATTACTTGGAGACTCATTTCCTTATACTGATATGTAAAAGGCTGGCGAGGGTATTTCCTTTTCTCTTCAGTTGGTTCTGAGCATTGCAAATAAGGCCAGCCGAGGTGTTAATGTGCAAAGTCTATAGCCGTCAGACAGTCCTGTTTCCTTGCATAGTATTCTCCGAAATACAGGGTTGAGATGTTAGAAAAAATAGCTCCGGGAATGTCAACTGGGTACAGCCTCAAATTAAGAGGCTATGACTCCCCAGGGCAAAGAGTTTGCATATCAGAAACTGAAGTACAGCCCCCAAAAGAGTTCCACTGCTGCCTTAATAGGATTAGGTAAATTGATCCTTCTGTATATCTTTATCTCTACAAATTACAGAGACGCCATTCTTGCACCTGGCCAGTGAGCTCAAGTTACTCAGTGATTCCTGACATCCTCACTATCACTCATCCCTGAGCCACCCCCCTTCTTCACAAGAAGATAAATGCTGGGAGAGGCCTAGGATCAAGGCCTCTGTCCGCATGTCCTCACGAGGATTGGACTTAGGACCCCTTGGCTGCCCTTAACTTGGAATACGTCTTGGTGTCTTTACTCTCGCTGTGGATCGGATTGGTGGTGGTAGATTGGAATTAATCTGCTAGGATTCTAATGACGTCTCAATGGGATTACAAATATAACTTTTTGGATTGTGAGGAAGACTAGAAAGAGGATTTTAATACTTGGATGACTGAACTCAATATTTGGGTTTATAATAAAGACTAAAGATGCACTAAGACCTCACAAGGAGTGCAATCATCAGGTACTACAAAGTGTGCTGGCAGGACAGAGTAAAGCTACTGAGTTTTGATGACATCCAAGTTGAATCATGAACTTTCAAATCTTTTCTTTCTCACATATGAACAGTATTGAAGGTACCTGCTTAGCCTAAGACGAATCTAAATTCATCTTGGGGGAAAAAACCCTTATTACAAAAATAGTTTAACTGTGAACACCTTGCAGAATTCTGGTTCTTGGCTTATGAAGCAAGCTATGGAAGCATCATGTCATTTACAACATATCTTTGAAAACTGGGATTTTCAACACTTGTTACCATAAAAAAGAAAAAAATCAAAATTAGCTTGATGTTAAACATAATCCACACATTGCATTTTCAAAGATTCTCTTCCCTCCATAATTTAATGCCTTATTCCAGTAAAGCCAGCTTTCATACTGATGGCTTTAAATCAATAAAATGTAGCTAACTTCCCTGTATTTAAAAAGGCTGTGTTACTGGTGTGCTAATACTGTCTCACAACTTTTACTGTGAAAGTAGTTTGATAACTATATGTCAGTGTAATTGGTTTTCTTTGCAATCTGTGTGTTCTGTGCACGTAAATTCTGCACTCAGACTATATGTAAAACTGGGTGAGCCTGAGCAAGCTCTATGTATGGTATCAATGTCAGTTTCCTGGGGTTTATATGGTACTATAGATAGTTGTACAAAATGTTAACCCTGGGATATACCAGATGTGAGCGGTGCTGATTTCACAAACATCATTCCAAGGAAGCCCTGGGCTCTTCCAGATTGCCGAAGGAATTCCCCCCAAAAGTAATGAAAACATTCAAATACATTTGTTTCCACCTTGTGAGTGGTGCAGGTGTTTGACTCAGGGAAAGGTGCACAAATCCTCCCCGGTGTGGACACCCAGAAGCCTGGTACACATGTGGGGGTACTCACTGGAACCTGATGGTCGCCTGCTCTAGATAGTAGATGTCAAAAAGCCAGCGAAAAAAGACGTCCAAACTGAAAGCAAGAACAATGCCAGACCTTTGTTAATGAAATGTGAGCCAAGGCCTAGGGTTCAGTTCCTCTGCCTGGCTTCCCCTTCAGTCCTCTCTAGCTCAAATTCAAGCCGGCCACCACAACTCGCCCTTTCTTTCTTCCTGCTGGCCACCTCTGCACCCGACCCTCTGGCCTTCCAGTGCAAGACTGGATCAGCCATTTCTCCCCCAGGGCTTTCTCCCTCTTCTGAGTTTCTGTGGAATATTGGCTGGGTTCGTGCCCCTCAGACTGACAGCCAGCTGGGACAGGGTCCCCAAGTCTGCACAATAGCTGGCTCAAGCTATGCCATGACAGGCACAGGACTGTCTTTGAGGAATAGACCTGCAGCAACCACAGGATGGGCTGTGGAATCTGACAGAGGATGATTTAACTCTAGGGTGGGCCTGGCTGAGAGATACTCAGGCTCAGTAGGAGTGAGGTACCTGGTCAGTCCCATGGAGGGCAGAATGACCACCATGAACACGAGAAAGATGTAGCACTTGTGCATTATGATCAGATTCTGACTGGATCTGGAAGGAAATGGAGAGAGAAGGTCATCAGGGTGTGAGACGGGCGGGAAGCATGCTGGACCAGGAAAGTGGCTGGCCAGTGCCCTGTCCATGGGGCACTGTGAGCTCTGCGACGGCATCTGGGAGCAGCAGGGGAGAACAGTGTGCCCAGCTAGTGATGGCTGCCCTGGGCACAGGGAGGGGAGAAAGGGCACACATATGTCATATTATTGGACATTGCTCCATCAAAAGGACATACAACTGATACATGGAAACCCTAAAGAGTCTCAGTAATCAATACAAGCCTTACTCTTGGCCAGGGGAAAGGCCAGTACGGGTTTCTTTTTTGTTTTTGCTTTTTGTTTTTGAGACAGGCTCTCGCTATGCATTTCAGGCTGGCCTAGAGCTCACTTTGTAGCGCAGGCTGTATTTTTCAACTCACAATGAACCTCTTGCCTCAGCCTCCCGAGTGCTGGGATTACAGGCGTGCACCACTACACCTGGCGAGGACTTCAGACAGAACAGCTCGTATAGCTTTTTGCCTGGTAGAATGGTAGGAACTTACAGTGTAGGAAATGACTTTTAAGACCCATGCAGCCTTTACAACAAAGCAGTGCCATTGCTTGGGATACAGAAAATACTTTCCACCCTTTTTAGCTGCCACCACAGCAGCATCAGGAATAAAGAATGAAAAATCTCCTGATTGTCTGGAGCATTGACACTGTGTGGGCTAAATGTGCTGATGGTCACTTTGAGTTTGTAGCTCCTGTGCTCTGATCATAGCTGCTTACCTGACCTTTTACAAGCAAGTCCTTTCATCTGTGTGCCCTGCCTGGAGTTCCTGGCACTGCCTAGCCCACGTGTATAGCTCCAGGCTATCAGTAGATAGATGGGGGATGAAGGAGCACCCCAAGAAGGGCTTGATTGCAGCCCCGCTCCCTTTAGATTAGAGCCTCAATCAGTATCTGCAAGGCTAGAGTCCTAGAAACAACCCAGCACTTCTTTACAAAAAGAAAACACCTGCTCGGGCTGGGGATATAGCTCAGTGGAATGAGTTCCTTCCTGGCAAGCATGAGGTCATGAGTTCAATCCCTGGTATAAAAAAATTTTTTTTTAATTTTAAAAAGAAAGGAAAAAGAGAGCTGGGCTGGTGGCTCATGCCTGTAATCCCAGCACTCAGGAGGCTGAGGCAGGAGGATCATTGTGAGTTTGAGATCAGCCTAGGCTACAAAGTGAGCTCAAGGCCAGTCTGAACTGCATAGAAGAGACGCTGTCTCAAAAAAAAAAAGAAAAGAAAAAAAAAAAAAAAAAGAAAGAAAGGAAAGAGAAAATACCCACTGGACACCTGTCTTTGGGGGATAGGTTTGGGTATCAAAAGAATCCCATAGCATGGAATCTAATATTATTCTCGCTGTTTAGTTTTGTTCCAATTTATTGTTTTATTTAATGTTTTATTTTGATTGGTTTTATTCTATTTTGTTTTATTTGATCTTAGTATGTCTGATTGTATGTACAACTACTGTGAAGATAACGAGAGATAGTAGGGTAGCCATTGTAGATTTCCTGTTATCCTGTCTTGAACTTCTGTCCCACTTTCACTGTTTTGTTTTGATTGGCTTTATTCTGTTTTATTGTGTTAAATTTTATTCTCTTTGAAGGAAAGAAAGAAAGAAAGAAAGAAAGAAAGAAAGAAAGAAAGAAAGAAAGAAAGGGAGAAGGAATCCCATAACAGTTCTAATCTTTAGGCCAGATGGAGGGGCCCAGTGCCAGGCTGGTAGGGAACAGGGAAAGGGTCGAGGGGAGCTGGAGAAAACAGCAGGTCTAGGAGAGGAGGACCCCGGCTTACCTGGTCCAGTGGGCCTCAAGGAAGGCAGAGAAGAAGACTATCAGAGGCAGGATCACTGTGAAGGCCCAGAGCATCAGGGAGGGGAAGAACTGGGTCACGATTGGGCTCTGCAGGGGCAGACAAGGGTGGGGGGCAGGAGGCAGGAGACAGAGAGACTTCAGTGCAGGAGGCCCCTTCCTCTGGCAGCCCGCCCTGTTTCTCCCCTACCCCTGCTTCTCCACCTCCAGCTCAGACTGAGCAGGCCTGATGCCGAGGGAGTGGGCCCGGACTTTCCTGGGTGCCTTCCTAGCCAGGGGTCCACTTGGCTGGAGAGAGGAAGAGGCTGACACCCTAAGGTCAAGTGGAGTCCTCAGGGGACTAGGCCTTGCATGCCACGGTCACTGGAAAGGCGGCCTGAGCTTTCCCTGCTGACTTCTCTCTTAACAACAGACCCAGCTGCCATCACAAGTCCCATGGCCCAGGGAAACAACACCGACACTGCACCAGGACAAGGGGATACAGCGAGGGTGGGGAAAGAGCAAGTCCAGGGATGGCAGAGGCCCCCCAGTGAGGGTGTGACCGGGGCCTATTGTGGAAGAGGACAGAGGAGCACAAGAAGTGATGTGGTTCAACATGTGTGTGTCTTGCTGGGAAGAGGGAATGGGCAATGTGGAAGAGGAACCTTCTAGCTCATCGAATCAGCACTGAGACGGCAGGACTGAAGATGGCCAGGCCATGGGGAAGTGCCCCATCAAGAGGAGCATCCTCTAACCTCTGGGACGCTCCTGCTCCCATAGGCTGGGAGTACAAGGGTCTGGAAGTGAGGAAAATGCAGGCAGATCTAAAGGTCCCTCCTCTCCAAGGGCTTTGCTAGGACTGATCTCTCTCCCTTACCCTCAACTGTATCACAATAGTTCAGCCTAGGACACTTGGGGAGAACAGAGATGCTCACACCTGCGCCCTCCAGATCTCCAGCTGGCCCAGCAGGAGCTGGTCTAACAGCCCTCCAAGCCCCCAAACTCACCCCAGCTCAGCCTGCAGCTCTTCCACTTTCCTTTCCTTTCCAGTCCCTGTCCCTAAGGCGGGCAATGACCCACATCCATCCCACTCTGTGTACAGGAACCTCTACTCTCATTGAGCAGCTCCACCTCCGCCATGTTGGCAGCACACGGGTTTCCCCATCCCCTCCTCCCTTGACTTCTTCCTTGATCTCTTTGGGCCCCCGGCCTGGCCTGAGCAGAGGAGGCACCTGCAGCTTCTCGATGGGGCGGGTGACGTTGTACATGTCGATGGTGTTGATGATGATGGCAGGCGTGGTGAGAAAGAAGAAGAGGAAGAAGAGGAAGGTGTTGATCGCGAAAAAGCGGACCCACCAACTGAAGCGGCGGATGGACAGGTGTTTCCTGGGGAGGGGTGAAGGAGGGAGGTGCATTTAGGACCCTTAGCGAGAGCCCTGGTGCTCTTCCCTGCATGCTAGCTGCAGAGCCTACTGCCCTGGTCTAACGGATCCAGGCCTTTGTGCCACAGCCCATTGGTCTTCCCATTGGTCACCCTACTTCTAAAGGCCCAAAGGCCTTCCCATTGGTCACCCTACTTCTAAAGGCTTGGAACATATCTCAAAGATGAGCAAAAAATGGATCTGAGCTCTTTCTGCAGGAGAGACATTTTCCCCAAGGTTGAGTGCATTCCATGCTCGAGGTGGGGTGAACATGGGAGTGTGCAGAGGTGGGGATCCCCAGGAAGGCACAGCCCATGGGGCACTGTATTTGGGTCACACTGGGCCTCCCTGTGGGGTAATAAGGTGGGGGAGAGGGAGCCTGTCCTGTTCTCTTCTTCAGTCTCAGAGGACAGCTCAGAGGAGAGGGAGGGACACAAGAGGCTTACCAAATAATGTCTTTTGGGTGCGGGGCCTGAGCGACTCTCCATTGGTAGGATTTGACGACAGTGGTCACTGAGGACTGCTGGGGCTGCACACCACAATAGATGTACTTGAAATCCTCCTGGATGCTGCAGAGATGGGAAAGGGGAGAAGATAGAGGTCTGGGGGTAGGAGGAAGGACCTTGAAGGGTCGCATGCCAGGGGCCCAGGGACACTGTGGACAGCTCCTAAGGCCCCAAAGTTGGAGAGAAGGGACAGTTGACGGTACCTGGACGTCCAGACAAAGGAGAGAGCCATGCTGTTCTCAGCTCCTGCCTTCCTACTATCAGCAGAAGCATCAGAGATGTGCTCTTCCTTTGAGGTTGATGGGAAGCTATTAATTTAGCCTTGCCTTGCTATCAATAGCTCCTGGTTATTGAGTTCTGCCTGTGTGCCTGACACTGTACTCACTGGTAATTAATAGAATCTCAATTGCAGATTCCCAGATCGAGGTACCTTGAGGGGCAAGGGAAGAGGGCAGTGCTGGTACTGGGGCCCTGTCTTTGACCTTGTAACTCATATTCTGTTATAATTAAGCCTCTGGTCTTCTCTGCCAAGTGGCAATGTGTCAGGAAATGAACACTATTGTGTAATGCAGGCATTATGGCTTTATCTAACATACACATTAAATAGATTATGTATATCCCTTTGTCAATCCTCTGGGAGGTGAACAGAGCAAGCATCAGTAGCGATACTGCACAGATAAACTATTTGCGAGGATAAGGAACTTGTATAATTGTGCACCCTAAACTCTAGGGTGTTACACTATTCTTATACAGAGTGTGGCATGGTGAGGACACAGTGCTATGCATTGTGTCAGGACCGGAGGCCTTGACAACCCTTCGGGGACTGATCCTGCAGCTCCCATCTATCTATTCCAGTGCCACAGAGCCTTCTGGAGTGTTCCAGACTGGACCTAATTCATTTTTTGTTGAGATGCGGCTGCCAGAGGTTGGGGCAGGAGAGGACGGTGCTGCAGGGCTACGAATTAGGGGAAGCCCATCACAGAAGAGGAGGAAGAGCAAGAAAGGCTCATCGCTCCCGAACCTGTCACTTGTGGCAAGAAGAGGGAATGACGTGTTTGGACTAATGGAGAAATGACTCTTGTTCTTAGCAAGACTTGGAAGAGAAGCCAAGGGTCAAAGTCTACACTGACTGCCTCTGTACCAAACCAAGAACACAGTGAGGGCTCAGGGCCTGGGCAGACAAGCTGAACTCTGACAGAAAACAAGTATGAGCATGCTCTAGAAAGCAAGATGGCACCCGTGAAGAGCAGGGAGGAGCTAAGAACAGGTAGCTGGAGGAAGGCTCTGTCTCCTCACCTAGGCTGGAATGGGATCAGCGAGGATGGAGGTAGAAAAGAAGAGGCCCACCCTAGGGGGTGGGAAGGGGCCACGAGCCACTGTCACCGTGCTCACCGCTGCGCCATCCTGGTGTCCTGGAAGGTGACAAAGATCAGGTCGAGCCGCTTCAGCTGCACGCGGTTGAGCTCGGCATTGAACTCATCGGTCAGCTGCTCCTCCAGCTCACTGTAATACTGCTCTGCATCTACCTGGGGCAAGAGGCGGCCCTCAGAGCTGGAGGCCAGAGTGCTAGGACAGCTCTGCTGGACGCGGGGACCTGTTCACTCAGCAGTATGGAAGGGAGGGACAGCCTGGAAGTCACCTCTAGAACAGTTGAAGGCTGACTCTGCCATTTGTTTCCTGCCCTTAGATCTGAGGGCAGTGAGGCATAGCACAGATAGGGCAGGAGGGCAGGGTCAGCCCTCGGTAAACCCACACAGACAAGAGAATGCACAGCTTTGTCAGAAGCTTTGGGCGATTCTTTTTCGGGTCTGGCTGGAGTCCAGTCCCGCTCTGACGCCTAAGTCCTGAGATCCCTTCGAGGCCACTGGCTGGGGGACAAGGTGGACCTGTTGCCTTCAGTAATCCCTGCCCTTAGTCTTTGGGAGTCTGAGGAACACAGGAAGCCGACTGTGTTTTCTCTGGCCCCTCTGCCTCTGGAGATGGCCCCAAGAAAGGCTTGGGCGCCCCCACAGGCTCAACAGGGAGGTGAGGCCTGGTGGAAAGGGAGGGAGGGGTCTGTGCTCAAACTCTGGGGTGACTGGCGTGGGGCCTGGGAACCTGGGGTGTGGGCAAGGGATGGATACCGGACCCTATGATGCCCCATCTGCCACCCCCCACATCCCTGCCAGTTACCTCCTTGAAACAGGTCCAGCAACTGCAGAAGCACAGGCGGGAGCAGGGGTGGATCCTGATCATCACCTTCCCAGTCTTCTTGGCCCTGGCTGTGTAGTAGAGCCGCCCTCGCATGGCGTGGCGCCTGTCAGCACAGGGGATGAGGGAGGATCTTTGGACTAGCACCCAATGGAGCTCCCCCTTCCTCTTACGCCCCGTCCCAGAGCCCCCACCGAGGCCTCACCTCTGATCATCCAAGTCGATCAGGTTCCTGACATCATAGCAGAAGTGGACTCTGGTCACGACGCAGCCAGGATAGGCCTCGCTGCAGCCAGACACACAGAGGCTGAGCCCAGGGGGCCGGGGATGCGCTGCCCACCCCTTCTCACTGTGACAGCCCGTGCAACTGGGTGGCTTAGCTACCTAGGGGTGCCTTGGAGCTTGCTCCAAAGGCTGAGCTACCTTCAGGGCTTGGACCCTGGTGATCTGAGTTGCTGCATCCTTCCTAGATGACTGAGAATGGGGCCCAGGAAGAATTTGACCAGTGGGGAACCCAGGGAGGAGCTGCTCGCAGAGAGGTAATGAGCTCAGTGTAGTGCGCTTCGGGCCAGGAACCTGAGGTCACTGAAGGGGCCTCAAGACGCTGGACCCTAGACAGCCATGGTGCGGGGGTTCCCTGGCCTTACACTCCTGCTATGCAGGAATGCCCTGAATCCAGAAACTGCTCCAGCCCTGGCGGCCCTCTTCATTCTGAAAAGCCAGTACTGAGTTCAGTCCAAAGAGGGCCACCACCAGGGGTGTCCCTGGCCCCACCACCCCAGGCTAAATCCAATCCACATGAGGGCAGATGTTGTTATCAGGACAAGGGGCTGCACACCTGGGCCCACCTGCCTCACTTACTGGAAGTGCTTAATGATCATTTCTGGGTCCTGGATGGTTGTGGGCACATAGGTGATCATCACTGTCCTTGTGACCTAGGCGGGAAGGGGAGATGGAGAAAGAAGGCTGTGCTTGTTTACATAAATACTTGGTCATTTCTTGGTGGCCCAAACCCCTGGCGAGCAAGCCTTCTGCCCATGCCTGGGGCCCTGCAGTATAAGCCCAAGCCAAAAAAGCCTTAGTCTTTTTGTCCCGAGCAGAGCCCTGCTGCCCTGGGGGAGGCAGACTGTGCCTTTCCTATCCTCTGTGTTCCAGCTTCTGCGCCCTGACACAGACAGTTGTCAAGGGAGGGGAAGCCAGAGGCTGCCGACAGGCCAGGTGCAGACCGGGCCAAAACAGCTGCTCACCCCACTTTCTGCAGGTGCAGCTCCCACAGATTTTGGGTCTCTGCCAGCCCAGTCCTTCTAGCGGGAAGCCCTGTGTTGTCAGAGAAACCTTAACATCAGCCGGCACAGGGGGCCTGGGGTGAGCAATGCTATGGCCCATGAGTTAAAGGTTTGGTTCAAGCTTGGTACTATTAGGAACTGGTTGGTAACCTTTAACAGGTAGGTCTCCTGGGAGGTCTCAGATCCCTGAAGGTGTATCTTACAAGGGACATTGAGATCCAGGCCTCTTTTCTTCCTCCTCTTTTTTTTTTTTGCTTCCCAGCTGCTGAAAGGTAAGTGACCTCCCTGCTATGATGTTCTACCTCACAACAGGTCTAAACTGTGAGCCAAAATACACTTTTCCTCTTTTTAAATGGATGGTCTCAGATATTTTGTGACAGTAACAAAATACTAACACAGCAAGACTGAGGAGAGACTGTAATTCTCTAACTTTCTATTTTAACTTCTAGGTAGGAAATGTCTTTCTGAGTCCGTCTCCTGCAGGTTTACCATGTCTGATAAACTATGCTGCAAGAGATGAGGGTCTTGGCAGAGGCATCTGATGACAAGAAAAGCTGAAATAGCCAAGTCCAGACTGCTAGGGAGCACCCAAGCCTCCATGCCTGCCAGGGTGAAGCAGCTGGGGTGGCATTTTTGGTACTGGGGTGGGTTAGTCCTTTAGGAGGGGACTAACCCCCTACACCAGTATGAAAAGTCTCAACAACTGGGGAAGGAGAGTGGGATGCACAGGTGTGAGCAGGTGACCACGCATGGGCTAAGAGCGGGGCCCTGCCCCATGCAGGTGACACCTCCCCTTCAGTGCTTGAAAGCACTGAAGCCATGGCAGCCTAAATGCTGAGCCAAGGATGGCCCCTGCCCTGTACTAAGCCTTGGTCTGGGCAGGTGGCACTGCCATGGTCCACCCACAGTCCTGAGCCTTCATTTCTGCATACTGCAGGCTGCAACACACCTCAAACATGGAATTCTGCCTGAGGGCTGTTTCCTGGTATTGGGATTGTGTTCAGTTTATACCCAGGGCAAGAAGGGAAGAGTCAAAGTCCCCAAACACAGCTCTCAATCAATGGACAGCAAGTCTGGGAAAAATGTGTGCATGATCTACACCAGTTCCTGGAGTCCCCAGGGAGCAAGCTCTGGCTGCCACCCTGCTCAGCTGCCCAGTGACACACCCTTTTGAACTGGTTGCTTTCTCCTCCCCATATCACCACTCCCTGCTGGCCTTTCCTGAGATCCCTCTCAAATAAATGAGTGCCACTCAAGCCCTGGTCTCAGGTCTGCTTCAGAGGAGGACAGGGGGTCCCCAGACCCACATGGCAGGGATACACCAGGGGCAGGACAACAAAGAGAGATGGCTGAAAGGATGGGAAGGAACTGGCAGCATCTGTTCACTAACCAGTATGAAAAGTCTCAACAACTGGGGAAGGAGGGTGGGATGCACAGGTGTGAGCAGGTGACCACGCATGGGCTAAGAGCGAGGCCCTGCCCCACGCAGGTGACACCTCCCCGGGGGTGCTGCGCTGAGACTTCTCTGAAGTGGGGCGATGGCTCAGTTGGGCAGGGGGCTGTTCATGCACTCACCTTTTGGCTCTTTTTGGGCACAAACCCCAAGCAGTGATGGGCCATGAGGATGAAGTTGGTGATGAAGTACAGGAACGCGAAGAGGCTGTGCACCCACAGGAGCTTACTCCTACCAGAGTGAAGCAGAGGCTGGCGGTACTGTGGGCTTCCAGAGGCCACCAGGGTGGCCAGGGACCCTCCACCACCACGGTATCCCTGGAATCCCTCCTCCCACTGTGCTATCCTTGGGCACCACAGTGTACCCAAACCACCTGCAGTGGTGTTCACGGGCCTGGCCCCTACCAATGGCTAGTACTTATTGTGTGCCTACTGTGGACCAGACCCAGAATGGAGCCAAATTCTTTTCCTTTCTTTTTTTTTTTTTTTTTTGTCTTTTTCCTCTTTATTGGTACCAGGGATCGAACTCACGACTGTCTGCTTACAAGGCAGGCGCTTATGCCACTGAGCTAAATCCCCAGCTCCCTCCTTTCTTTCTTCTCTCCCCTCTTTTTCTCACTTTCTTTTTATACTGGGGATTGAACTCAAGGCCTTTTGTGTTCAGCCCCTTTATTTTTATTTTTTGAGGCAAGGTCTTGCTAAGTTGCCCAGGCTGGGTTCACATTTGTAATTCTTTTGCCTCAACCTCCCAGAGTACTGGGATTACAGGCATGCACCACCACATTTGACTCTCTGTTCTTTAGGTCTTTTCCTCACTCGACTCTCAGAGCTGTACCGGACAGTTCTGTGATTATCTTCAATTATCCCATAAGGAATCCAGGGCAAGAGCAGCTGAGTACTTAGCTACTTCACCCCACAATTTCCCAGGAGGCCAAGTGAGGAGGACCTGGGTCCCATGTGGGCACAGGGTGAGAGGCTAGGAGGCACCTGGGCCAGGTCTCCATTCCTGCTCGAAGCCTGTGGGATGCTGTTCCAATGCTTCTGGGCAGAATGACTGTGCTAAAGAGGGACCCATGTCATGTGACATGAGGAGAAAAGGGCTGGTTTGCTTCAAGACACTGCCACTCCCTGTCCCAGTGCCTGCCTTCATGTGCCTCACTTCACCAGCCAGATGCCTGGTAGCTCAGTCTCAGCAGAGGTCCCATGGTCACTAGGGAACTTTCCAGTCCTTGGCCAGTATAGAGTCATGCCCACAGAGCTCTTTACAGATATCACTTGTTGGGAAGGGGTCAGCACCTCAGAATGACTAACCTAGGGAAGAGGTTGATGGCTCTGCTCTGGGTGGCAGCACTGGGGGAAGAGCCTCATAAAGGGGAGGGAGAGGATGCCACACCCATCCTGTGATTTGAGTTTGGGCAGGGGGCAGGGGTGGCAAGACTGGAGCCCATGAACCCTGCTCCCACCTGCGGGAACTGCCACTGCAGCTTGGTCAAGAGGGCAAGACTCCTTGTGGGCCCCAACATGGAGGGCAGGGCTGGGTTTGACTCAAGGCAGGTTGACCTGGCCACCGGTCAGGCTGGTGGGTGTTGAAACCCATAGTTTGCTGGGCTGTGAGTGGGATGGGCACAGAGACCATGTCCTACAGCACCTCCCTGCCACGCGTGTGGGACGAAGCTCAGAAGTAGAGGGTGCGTTGCCCCAGGGCCAGTGGCTGGCACAGGTGAGGCATGAACCCGTCATATAATTCCTCTTGGTCTCTCTGCTGAAAGAATTCGTGTGGTGGTGTGGAGGGGACGGGGAGGCCCACAAGTCACTCAATGACATGACGACTGACTTGAACCCCTGCTGGCCTGGGAGACAATCCCCTAAACTCTCCTTGGTACAGGGTCTCTGGCTCTTGGTAACTGTATATACTAAGGAATTAGGCCATTTCCCCAGTCCTCAAGTGGCCAATCTGGGTGGTTCCACTCATAACAGATGGAGATACAGAGGCACTAAGAGTCTTTTCCACCAAAAACAAAAAAGAGCAATTTCCAGAATGTGCTCAGGCCCTAGATTCCCAGGGAGACCGGCCCTCTCATGAGCCCAGTTGTGGACTGACACACTGAACCTTCCTTCCCCACCAATGTCTGGCCAGTAGAATGGGAGGTAAGAAGGTCAGGTACCTACTCTGTGGAGACATTGACGATGGTGGTCCGAGCAAAGTGGCTGTTCTTGTCTGCAAGAGAAGAAAGGTGTGACTTGGAGAGGCTCCTTCATTGCTGGTGGGGCAGGGGGTCAGAACCAAAGGCTCTGGAATAAACAGATGCCCTGGGTCTAACGTTACTTGCTACAACCTGCTCTTCCTTCTGGCTCCCCAGAACTTACTACCAGCTTCCAACAAAAACATCATCCTCCGGGTGCTGCTGACTGGGGCTCTCAAGCATAAAGCGAGACCGCGCATTCACAGTGTGTCCCCAGATGGCACTCCGCAAACAGCCAGCAAACTCTGGCTGGAGGGACCGGCTATCCCGCCACGGGTAGGAAGACGAGACTAGCAACACTGGCCACCATCATAGCAAGGACCCAGAGCTCCAGAAAATGGGACACTGCCTCATTCAGAGAATGTCCTCTGGCTAAGCACATTTCGTTGGTTCTGACATCTTCAGGTTTCATGAGATGTGTCTAAAAATCATGGCTCACACACTAGCTCCTGGGATGAGAATGTAGAGACAGGAGTCGGAACTTATTTACCCTGGTGGTAGAATCAGGTGGCCCTGACCATGCACTGCACTGAATTCAGTAAAATTCACCTCAGGCTGAGGAGGAACAGGCAGAAATCTGAGGAATCTAGAGCTGTTGCCATCTGGCCAGGGAAAGTGCTACTGGCCCCTGTCTGGTCGTTCAGCCCTCCTGCACCCATCTGTCCTGTAATTCTAGGTGAAATACTGCTGCTGGTCCCTGAGCTCGTACGGTTCAAGCACCACGTTAGGCACCAGTCACTATCTCCTAGTGCCCAAGACAACAAAGAAACCGAGCCTTGGAGAGGTTGGCTTGTCCAATATGAAGCTAATTAATTTGTTGGCTTGGGCAAAGATATTTTATGGGGAGCAGATGTGTGAAAAATTGTGGAGCCAAGGTTTTTCTAACTTCAAAGCTGAGCCCTGACTCACAACATTGATTTGTATGGAGGATGCACCCTGTCACAGTGAGCTGGGCACAAGTCCTAGCAGATTAATTTTGTGCTTACAGTGCTATGCCCATCAGGTGGGTACAGTGAGAAGTGGAGTTTGGGGACCTTTGCAGTGGGCCACATGTCCTGAAAGGGGCCCTAATGAACACCTGGTCAGGTGCAGGGTGGGGACACGGGTAAAGACTTAGTTTTAGACTGAAGTGACGCAATGTGGCTGCCACAGGCCAGGCTCAGGTGAAACAAACAAGGTGTCATCTCCAGCCTCCGGATGGGGGACCTGAAGCATGGGTTGTCCAGGCCACTCGAGAGCTACTGTCTAGAGGAGGGATTAAAATCCAGATTTCCTGACCCCCAAGTCCCAAATTCTGTCCCACCTATCAGACTGCCTCTTGGGTCTGCTAGTCTCTGCCTACCCAGGACATTTCCGGTGTAGTTGATGGGCAAAATGATGCCCAAGGAAGGGATGCAGAGGATGAGGACGTAGATGATGAAGTGATACTGGAACATCACGTAGATGCGAGCGTCATCCCCACACTTGCTGATCAGATCCTGGTCCCTGGAAGAGACACAAACAAGCAGAGTCCTCAGGAGCCAGCACAGCCACAGCTTGGGGCGGGGGTAGAGGAAAGGGAAGGAAGATGAGCACCCCGCCCCGAAGATGTCTTTCTGTATTGTAAACACTGTTGTCCCTCTCAAGGTCCCTGAAGAGCATGTCAATGAGCTTCACAGATACACGGGAGAGAGACGCCACGTTCCGTGTGCACACACAGGAATCAGACACGCTCTCAGAATTGGGCCTCAATCACCCTTTCATTACTTCCACTAATATTCAGTGTAATTCCTAGGGAGCAGCACCGGGCAAAGCACCACTGATATGGAGATTCAACCTCAAGAGTTGTTTATTTTCATCCCTTAAATTAAAATGACTGGGACACTTCTGCCCCAAACCTTTGAATTCTGTGATAACACTTTTCATGTCAATCCTGTCAAAACTCCTCCTATTCTTCAAGGCTCAGCTCAAAACTACATTTTCTCTCAGTGTCCCAGGTGGAATTCATTTCTTTTTCCCCCGTATGCCCTTTATATAGCAAATCAGAACTCCCTCTTTTTTTGTTTTTTTCGTTTTTATCGGTACCAGGGATCAAACTCACAACCGCACACTTGCAAGGCAGGCACTTATGCCGCTGAGCTAAATCCCCAGCCCCAGAACTCCCTCATTTTGAACAGTATGTAAAGAGCCTTAATGGCCTTTGTTTCTCTAAGTAGACTTTTGGGTGGCAGTTATTTTGCAAAAGAAGCAAAGTCACAGGTCTGCTGGGCCCCAGTGCACATGGCCTCTAAGAAGCAGTGGTGCTGGACCCTAAAGCAGGTGTCACCAGGCAAGAGGGCTCTGAAGGACAGGCAGGGAAGGGCAGAGCAGGGCAGGTAAGAGCCCAGGATCATGCAGATCTCTGATCACAGTCAGGGCTGAGGTGTGTACACTGTGTGTGTTTATGCATGCACTTGTGAGGAGTGTGCATTTGTAAACAGACACTGAAGGCAGACACTTCTGCTAATGCTCAGCCAAGGCACCTGGCTGGTGTTAGGGAAGCAGGAAAAGGCAGGTGTGTTGAGGCCTGCATTCTCGCCAAGGGGAGTTTCACACTACAGAAACCTGACGGTGAGGTGGGCAGAGACCATCCCTCTGACACCCGGGGTGGTGTGGGGAGAGGAAGTCCTTCCCTCCCCCCATGGATTTTCTCCCTCTGGACAAAGATGATGAATGATGTGCATAGAAATCAAGGAAACAGCATGCAGGAAGAATTTCTTTTCCTGGTATGCAGCTCACAGTCTGGAGTTTATATACATGGGTGTAATGGGTTACATGCTCCTCCCACACACACTGGGGCAGGGGTGGCCTGGGCAATGGGCTAGTTCACCAGCTGGAACTCTGGGAAGCACCGTCCGCCTGTATGGGGTAAGGCAGGAGGTGGGGTGGGGTACAGGGCTCTGGGCTGTCAACCCAGGAGGGGGGTGGTACTTCTCACAAGAGACACCATTGTGCTCCCCCCACGAGCACAATGTCACAAGTTCACAGCACATAGGCACTTACTTCATGGTTAAGCTGTTGAAGAGCCAAGAACAGAAACCCTGGGGAGAGAGAAGAGCAACTGTGAGACCAGTCGAGGCACTCAGCTGCCCTGTCCGGCCGTGGGGACCTACAGTTGTTGGGGGGCTAGGCAGCTGCAGCAGCCTAAGAGGGGCCTGAAGCTCCGGGTGGAGTCGGGGCGATGCCGAGGAAGACGCCTCCCTGGACGTGAGTGGACACTCGCCATCCTGACACAGGGGTGGGGTTTGGAGTGTGGGGGTGCACACACTCTGCTTGCCTGCAGAAAGGAAGGGCACAGCCTCCCAAGAGCCAAATGGCAGCGGCCAGCTGATGAGCCCAGATGACAGTGGCCAGCTCCCTAGACCGCTCTCGGACCCCGTTCTCTCCTTCTTTACCAGCTGATGGGAATGAATGACACCCCTGTCCTGCCTTGCTCAGACTACTTTGGTGAGACCCAGACCCCACTGAGACCCCCGCCATATGTAGAGGCTCTCTCCCTGCACTTCCTGTTCTAGTTGGATTTCTATCCTCTGCGCTGTGGCATAATCTCTCTTCTTAGATTTTTAAAAACAAAAGAATTTTTCTTGTCTTTATGAGCCAGGGCTCCCTATGCAGTTCAGGCTGGCCTTGAGCTCACTTTGTAGCCCAGGCCAGTCTCAAACTCACAATGATCCTCCTGCCTCAGCCCCCCGAGTGTTGGGGTTCCAGGCACGTACCATCACACCCAGTTAAAACAAAAGAATCTTGTCACTGTAGATAAAGGAAGACAGACCAGTTTGTGCCTAAAAGTGAGCCCGTGTACCACGGTGGAGGTGTTGCCATGCTCCCTCCCCAGAGGTGGCCAGCAGACAAAGTAATGGAGGTGTCACCCGCGGGGTGGGGCAGAGCCCAGTCAGCAGGGTGAGGACGGAAGGAACTTGGTTCTGCCTACTAATCACCCCCTACAAATGTGTTGCAGAGGCTAATTATGCGACAGGCTGGACTGGAGACGGGGACACAGCCATGAGCACATCAAGCTCTGCCTGCTCACACTGAGGGAGACATAGGAGACAAGGAGAGGTTAGGGTAGACAGGGCTCAAGGTGTTCAAGAAAAGCCATGTGGGTGTTTATTTATTTGTCTGTTTGTTGCCTGCCTTTGTAACAGAAGACATGGACCAGGCCAGTTGCCAAGTCTCCCAGGGAATCAGCGCCTGAGCTGAAATCTGAACCAAGTTGAGGATGACTCAGAGAGGGGCCGCTGGGGAAGGGGCAGAGGAGAGCTTGGGAAAGGCTCTGAGGCAGGAAGGAGCTGAGGATCTCAAAGGTGACCAGTGGGGCTGGGGGAGTTGAGTGGAGAGAAGTACACTGGACAGCAGACAAGAGATCAGAACACCAGGCCATGGCACGCCATCTACAATTCATTGGAAGAGCATCAGGAAGACATTGAAGGCCTACACACAGGAAGAGCATCCTCGCTTCTGGGATGGCTCTGCATGCAAGTGGAAAATGGATGGGGTAGAGACAAAGGCTGGCGCTTCAGGGACGAGTTAGGGCTGCTCCGGTCATCAAAGCAAGAAGCTGATGGAGGCTGGGAGAGGGACTGGCAGATGGGATGGGGGGAAACCAAAGTGGGAGGCTCAAGGCAACACGGCTTGGTACTGAGTGGGCCGTGCTCAGAACCAGAGCCTGGCTAATAGCCAGGGGTGGCCAGTGGGAAGGGTCTGAAACCAGGGACCTAGGCATGGGGGCATGGAGGGTCTCATGGAATGTTCTGGACACAGCAAATCCATGATGCGTTTGTGATATCCACATGAAGCGATTCTGAGGGCCACCGGAGAGCGGGGCTGGAGCCCAGAGACAGGCTTAGCTGCTTGTAGACACTGAGAGGTAGGGTGAAGTGATGGCAAATGAGCCCAGGAGAGACGGAACAGTGAGAGCAGAGAGGCTTGGGCTCAGCGGGGTGATTCTGGGTGTGCAGAGGCCCAAGGTCAAAAGGAAACACCCCTGGGGCACAGAATCATGAAGCAACTGGGAGTGCCTGCTGGAGGACAGTCGCAGTCAGAGGTTTTTGAGAGACGGGAAGATGAGGCTGAAGTAAGCCCATTGGATTCGGTGGCGGCCGAGCCGACTATGGGTGAGGTGGATGAATGCCACGTTCCGGGAGGCTGAGGGAGGAGGGCGTGGGGAGGAAGTGGGGACACAAAGCACAGACCACTGTCAGGCCAGTGGGAGGGGTGAGGGCAGTGTGGGCACCAAGATAGGGCACAGGAAGTCCTGCTCCTTCCTGTCATTGCATTCCAGTCCCCACTCAAGTGTCATCCGCTGTCAAGGCCATCCTGATCACCGTCTATAATGCGGCATTCGGTCAGGAGTTTTCTTTGCCCTGCTATTTTTCCTCACGCACTCACTGCTGTCCTAAATGGATCGGTCCGGTCCCTGCAGCCTCTAGAAGAAAGTGCCACAAGGCAGAAACCAGTCCCTTGTGCTTGCTGCCTGCCCCAGGTCCCAGGGCTGCCACACAGCAGGTGCTCCAGCCACATCCGGACAGAGGACCTGAAGCTCTCAGGATGGAGAAGGAAACAGAGGGCTCTGTGGGGTGGGGCAGGAGGTGGGAGAATCCCTGAGGGCCAGAACCCTCCCCCGGAATGGAAGGCCAGCCCTCGGCTCCAAGGGAGGGGTTGGGGAGCAGGGCAGCAGGGAACTGTTGGAAGCATTTTGAGAAGAGGAGAGATTTGAGAAGAAGAGAAAAATTCATTTAAAAAACAAGGTTATTATAATTAGCTAGGACTCACTTGGCACCCAGGGAGGTAGATACGGCTCATGCCTCCATCTCTCAGATGGAGAAACACACTGTGCCTTGGGAGGCTGAGGAATGGCCCAAGGCCCCAGGGCCGGAAGTGACAGAGCCTGGCTGACTACGAGCCTCTGCCCAAGCCCTGCTCTGTCCTGTGCCCACCATGACTGCCCACCCAGGACCAGGCTCCCACAGGCTCCCAGTCACCCCCAGCACTCACCTTGTCCCTGCGTTCCATCTCCAGGGAAATCTCCGAGGGTGATGACTTCTCACTTTGCTCCCCATAGATCAGTGAGGTCAGGCTGCCAGCCAGGAATGGTGACAGGGGATGCAAAAGGAGAGAGAGGGCTTCAGATGCTTCTGCTGCTCCCCCACATGCCCTGGGCTGATGACTGGGGGTGGCTACTGCCCAGCAGCCTCAGCTCCTTTGCAGAACATGCAGTGTATGGTACAGATGGCACTGTCGCTGCTGCCAAGTGCCCAGTGCATCTTTGGAGTTCAGTCTCTGAGACCCAAGGGAAATGCGGTCTCATGCCCAGAGACGGCTGCCTCCCAGGTGCCCTTCCTGCAGGGGCAGTGATGGCTGATGGGATGCCACCTGCTCCAGACACACTGCTGCAGCTTGGGCATGGGCACAGCCGCATCCTGGCCACAGCTCCACCACCTGAGCCTGCCCCCTCACCTGTCATTATGGATCAGCAGGCCCAGGCGCCCATAGTCCCAGGCGGCTTTCCGGAGGAAGGAGTAAACCAAAAGGACGACCTGCGAGCCAGAGAAAGCAACGTGGATCAGGGAGTTAGTTTGCCAAAGCCTTCTCTGGGCCACGCCTGCCTTTCCATGAGGAGACCCCAGGGTGCTTCCCCACCACGTGGTAAGGTCTGTCTGGAAGGTGCATCCCTTTGATTCCGTATTCCCAGCCCCAACAGCTTCCTGCACAGAGCGGGTGCTCAGAGTTTGCCGAGTGAGGGAACTGGGGCGGTTTACAGTGGTGAGGAGAAGGCCTTTGGGAAACACCAAAAGGGGAATGTAAAGGGACCCCAAGGGTACCAGCCAGGTGGGCTTTTGGGCAATGGTGCATAGAAGAGAACCTCGAGGATTCTGCCTGCTCCTCCAGCACCTTTCACCCCGGGTCCACCCACCTGGGCCATCCCGGGCAGCACTGGCATTCAGGTCATCTGCACCACTGTGGCCAGTGCCCATCTGGACAATCGCAACCCCCAGCATATCTCTTGTGATAGCTCAGTAGCCCACCCTGGCTGAGACTGTGTGTCCCGGCAGCACCCAGCACTTACCACCCATAAGGCGATGTTGAGAAACAGCACGGTGGGGATGCCCCCAAAGGGCTGTCCCTGGAGGACGGTGTTCCTGTTCTGGTAGCACTCATCCACTGTCAGGTTGTGTACATCTGAGTGCCGGTTCAGGCCCTCCAGTAAGATGGACATCCTGAGAGCCTCCCTAGTGGGCAGAGTGGTCTCCAGGTCAAAGTGAAGGCTGTACCTCTCTATAGAAGAGAGGCTACCGGGGTGCTATGGGATGAGCACCGAGTACATCCACCAAGCTGGGCCCGGGGCACATCAGACCTAGGGGCCAGGGCTGGGCTAGGAACTTCTTGTGAGGGCAGGAAGGCCAGCCTGTAAGATGGCATGCTGCCTCGAACCCAGGACTGTGATGACAGATAGCTCACATTCCCTGGGAGAGTTGTTACTTTATACCATTTGATCCCTTTTAAATAGAGAGTTGCAAAATGCCCATCCAAATGGGTCTTCCTGTTGCTCTCCTGTGGAACTTTTCTTGTGTATAATTTGACAGATCTCACAAAGACAGATCACACCCCAAATGGAACAGTTTAGATTGGAAGGCAGAAAACTCCTATGTTCACACAACACCCATACAAATGGGGCTCCCTGGTGATTGCCTCTGTGTTCTACAGTTCTCTGATCCTGTTTCTGGGGCAGCAAGAATCCCTGAGATGCAGAGTGCCTGCCACTGAGTAGTGATTCGGTAAAATGGCGCTGTCTTACCTAGCCCTGCAGCCAGGCAACCAGCATCTTCCCTGGGACCTGAGCCCATTCAGTGAGGCTGGGCATCCTGGTACGGCTCAGATGCAGAGCCACGGTCACAGGCATCAGTGTTTTTCAGACATGGATACAAGTGGCAAAAGTGGGTGAAAACCAGAGGCACCTGGTAGCTGCTTGAATGGATCTGCAAGGGTGCTATGAACTCCCAGGGGGTTTTAACTCGGCCCCAGACCTTGCATTCTCCTAGTCTCTTCACGCCCATTCAAGACAAGTAGGCTCATTCACCCATTCAGACACGTGGTGAGTGCCGGCTTTGTGCCAGACTGACGCTGGTGACAGATCGGTGAGTCCTCTCTTGTGGGGCTGAGGTGAGGTCAGACCTCTGAGGATGACCCTCATGAAGGCCTCACTAAGAAGGTGACACTGAGCAGGGACTTTCAGACAGAGCAGTTGCAAACCCTGTAGGCACGAAGAAGTCTGCTCCAGGCAGACTGGAGAGCCCCCATGCCAGGGGCCCAGTGTGGAGGGCGAGGGTGGGGAGGAAACAGGTGCCAAGGCTACACAGCAGGGGGAAAGTGAGCGGATGGGTCTGAGCCAGAGAGGGCGTGAAATGATTTACGTCTTAAGGGGATTGTTTTGCAATAATAATAACACAAATGGGGAGAGGGTATCCAGGGACAGTGGGAGGGATGTGGTGGGGAGTGGAAGGGGAGTAAAAAGAATCAAGATGCGTTAAGTACATGAACCTACTCCCTAAGAAGAGTGTAAACTTCCTGAACGAGAAACATGCATTAGCAAAATGAGGTCTTGAAAAAAGGGATCGCTCTGATTGAGACTAGAGGGGCGAGGGGAGGGTCCAACAAGCAGACAGAAGTAAAGAGCCGTCAGGATGCAGGCAGAGATACTGGCAGGGGGCTGGGAGGGCAGCAGTGGAGATGGGAAGAAGTGGCTGAAACTGGACGTGGGCCAACGAGATCTGCTAACAGACTGCATGGGGGATGCGGCAGAATGAGAGGAATCCAGGACAATCTTAAGGTTTCTAGCTGGAGCGACTGGAAGAAGAGTTACTGTCATCAGATGGGAAAGACAGGAGAGTGAGGAAGAAGGAGGGGCTCAGGCGGCACAGGAGGGAGAGGGAGAGCAGGCAGCAGGACAGGGATGTGCAGCTCAGCAGGGACGTAAGTGTGAGACAAGAGCCACCAGTCACTTGAAGCAAAGCGCTGGAGGGGGTCAGTGGGGGAAGGACAGAGGCTCACGGTGGGAGCCAGTGACTGGGGAGCAGTGGATGATGGCAGCAAAGAAGGGGAGCAGAATGTCAGGGTGACACCCACTGGCCCAAGCCAGGAGTGGGATGAGGGGAGAAAAGTCTGCAAGTTACATAGAGGAAAGACATCGCTGCGCCCTCCGAGGTCAGGGGTGTTGGGGGAGACACAGTCTCCAGGGCAAGTCCTGGGGAGTCTCCCATTCCAGCTCCCAGGGAGAAGATGCAGGCTCAAGAGCTGGCATTTCTGTGCATTCTGGGCTCCAAGTTGGACCCCAGCTCTCACTCACTGGCCAGGCAACCTCGAGCAAGGTATTTACAGTCTCTATGACTCGCTCTACACATCTATCAAAAGGGAATGGGGACAGCCATCGATGCCCATTTCCCAGGGCTGAGTGACAGAGTCAAAACTTGTTTATCACACACAACAATGCCTGGAGCTCAGGAAGCAGCGCAGGAACACTGATACATGGAAAAAGGGACACAGAGTCCCGGAGGATGCAGCACAACTGCTCCCAGAGTTGGGGAGGGTTGGACAGTGGTGATGGAGAAGGACATGAAGATAAAAGGGTTCGAGAATGAGGGAGAAGAGGTGGTCTGGGAACCTGGGGTCCCTTAAGATCACTCGCAAAAATAAGGGTAGAAAGGATAAAGCGATTGGTCCCAGAAAAGGAAGAACACAAGAGCATCTCACATTACTATCATAAGATTAGTGTCTAGCAGGAACAGAGAGTCTTAGCCCTACCCAAAAAGTCTTCTGGCTTTTTGCTTTCCTCTTGTTTTGCCAAGGCTGCCCAGGGTTTCACTAGCTCTACCCTCAGTCACTGACGAGCTAACTCACTAATGTGTCTGAGTGAACACAGTGGATCTAAACAGGAAGCCTGCCAGGGGGAGCATCACTGCACTGCACCTGTGATGGCCACGGTGGCTCTTTGGAGGTTGGGTGGAGCAGATCGCTGTGGCAGGAAGTTACAGTTCTGCTGGCTCCCACGAGGGGGAGCTCGCACCACAGCAAGTGGTGATGGAAAAAGTAGGGAGAAGTCGAGGGCCGTTATAGACTTCCTACCTGAATCAGATTTCCAGGCAAGACAGAGTCAGGCCAGGAGGCTCCACTCAGCTACAGGGCAGCTGTGAAAAACAAAAGCAGTGGAGAGGTCACAGTTAGGGAACCAGGACATGCTGCCCGGAATCCTCATCTCTCAGAGCTCCGTGCCTCAGGAGCTCATCCTTCTTATTGTGTGTGTGTGTGTGTGTGTGTGTGTGTGTATGTGTTGCACTTTCTACCAGTCTGCTGCTTGTCTTTTCTTTTTCTTGATGGTGTCTTTTGAAGAGCAAACATTCTGAATTTTGATGATGTGACCCCCAAGCTGAGATGTGAAGGTGCTGGTGTGAGTACCGTGCAACAGTGAGGGTGGGCGAAGGGAACCACACTGAAGAACACCCAGCCTGGGCACAGCATTTTGGGAACACAAAGTGAACAGTCATGACTGGAGAGCAGAACGGATGGCTCCACCCACCTACCCAACAGGAACTCTCTGCGGGGAGCTCATACCTTGGGGTTTGGGGAGAGGGTTATTACTGGCCCAGGCTACCACGCTGCCTGGGAGGGCCAGGCTCTAAGACAGGGGGTTCAACCTGATTGCTGGCCCGCAGGTCAGATGAGGGGAGGACAGAGGAGGGCTTCACCCTCTTATAGCTCACCACCCTTCTCAGCAGTCTCAGGCAACAGGCAGACAATAACCAGGGAGGCTGTTGCCATGGAGACTCAGAGCAGCACCCAGCTTTTTTATGCACCTTGAGATCTGCTTTCTTTCTGAATGGAGAGCTAGCTCTGTTGTTTGTGGGGGAGAGGACTGGAGATGGAACTTAGACCCTCACACATAACCAGGCAAGTGCTCTACCAGTGAGTTACATCCCCAGACCTTTTTACTTTGAACAGGGTCTTGCTAAGCTGCCAGGACTGTCCTAGAACTCGTAATCCTCCCGCCTCAGCCTCCCAAGTAGCTGGATTACAGGTGTGAGCCTGCAGCTAGCTCTTGGTGTGAAGGAGGGGAGCAGGAAGCCCATAAACTGGCTCTCTAGGGACCTAAGCATGAGCCCTGGAAAAGATGAAGTCTGAAACTTGGAGTGGCTACAGGAACTTATGGCAGGGGCACCAGCCCAGCCCAGAGCAATGGGTAGCAGCAAATGTGTCACTGTGGGCATCTTTTCACAGCAGAGGACACAGAGGCTGTCGGAGTAGCAAGGAGAAGTGAGCTGTCTCAAGTCAGATCCACCCTGGCTATCTGTGTGGTCATGGGCAGTGTCTTCACCTCTCTGAGCCTTAGATCCTACACCTAGGAATGGGGGACAATAATAATGGCACTAGCTCATAGGGCCATTGTGAAAATGGCCTGTGATGTGAAGTCATATCGCTCACATAAAGCCTTCTGCACAATGCTTAGGAAATACCTAAGTGTCCAGTACTAGCCAGTGCCATCACCGTCGCCATCAGCTCATTTGTGAAATGGTGGTGAGAGGCCCCAACTGGACCACCCCAGGTGCCTGCCTGCCTTCGATATTCTGGAGCAGGCAAGAGGGGAGATGTGGGGATAGAAGGACTCTCCCCTGCAGCCACTGGGCAGTCACTGCCTCTGTTCTTTCTGTGCATGAGAAGCAAATGTCAGTCTTGCTCTGGAGCCGAGGAGGAGTGGGGAGATAGTGTGTGTGCCAGTTGGTGAGCCAGGCATCATGGTGCAGGCCAGCGCCTTTGGAGGCTGAGGTAGAGGGACCAAAAGTTTGCACCTAGGCTGGGCAACTTAATGACTCAGCAAGACCCTGTCTCAAAATATAAATAAATAAACAGTTAAGATTGACTGAGTATCTGCTACAGACTCAAGAGTTTCATTTTTGCACTTGTTCATTTAATTCTCACACGTGCCCTAGGGCACCAGAATCATCTCTGGATGAAGGAGAAAATTAAGGCGCAGAGGAGTCACAGCGTGGCCAAGGTCACGTGAGCGGCAGAACTGATGCACAAACCCAGGCCTTTGAGAACCCACAGCCTCCGTCTCTTGGGCCTCTTGAGCCTCTGCGGGGCTGGCCATGCTGGCTGAGGGCAGAGGAAAGGGGTGACCTTGCTCGAGCCCTAGTCCAGGGATAAAACCCTCCTGGTCTTTCAGAGTGGTGGAATTGGGGCCTGGGTTTGGGCTGCCAGCTGCATCTCCCGGCACTGCTTAAGGCCCAGTCAGCTCTGTCACCCTCAGGGGTTCACAGGAATGGGCCCATAAGGCCTGCTGTTTGATCCAGATGAGAGAATTATTATAATCCCGGGCCTTGTCCCAGGGGAAAATGCTGCAGGTTGGAGCCACCCACCTCTTCCCTCAACCTCACCCCCATCATATGCAAAGCCACAGCTCCTGCCCTGTCCTCACCCCATCTGATCTCCTTCGTCTCTTCAATAATGCATCGTCACCTTTTTGTTAACAACCAGAAAGATCATCTCCCTTAGTTCTGGACTTAAACAGGCTGGAGTTCCTGGCCACCAGCACCCCTCCTGCCCTGTCCTCTTCTCGGTCTCCCTTCCTCCCCCTTCACCCCTTTCCAGGAAGTCAGCTCAGGGGTCTTCGGTTCACCCTCACTGCTAAGGGGCCAATACTTGGCAGGCGCTGATAGTAGAATAACTTCTGGGTCATGGCCTTGCACACCGGCCTTGCCAGCTGACCTTGAATCTTCCCCTGGGTAGCAGTGACCCCTTCCTTGCTCCGACCTGTCCTTGATCTCCTCAGGCCTTAACGAAAGTGATGGTTTCCCAACTTTCCAGGTGAAGACATTGAGGCTACACCAGGCTGAGACCTGCCTCAGGCAGGTGGCTCTGGGGTGAGGATCCGGGTTTTCTAACCCCCTATTCAGAGTCCTCAGCGACATCTCAGGCTGGGTGGAGAAGGGAGTCACCTGAAGGCGCTTAGTGAAAGATCCAGATACTCACGTCCCACCTCCCCATGTTAAGAATGAGAATCTGTAGTCAGTTCTTGGGTTCAGCCAGGATGGAGGACCATCGGCGGAAGCTGCCTTGTCTGCTAAGGAGTTCTTAAAGATCCCAAAACATTCCTGACTCTCCCTAAACAAGGAGAGAGGGCATGGAGATTCAGGGAGGAACAAAGGTAGCCTGGTGTCTCCCAATCACACTGCGGTGGCCCCGCTCATGAGACTGCTCCTGTCCACCTCCCCTCCCGTTCCCGGGGGCCTCAGGTCCGCAGGCAGGTGGCTCACACCATCTCTTCAAGCTCTGGCATTTCTCCCCATTATCTCAGAGACCTGACCCGGCCACTTCTGTGTAGGGCACCAACACTGCCCTCTGTTCTGCTGCCTGCCACATGTCCTGGTGTTGATTTCCTTCCCTTATGGAGCTTGAGCTGCTTCCTCTGAGCTCAGCTAGAGCCTTGGTCTCATCAACATTTATAGTCTAGCTCACCACACCTTCCCCCCCAGGGCCTTCGTTCAGACGCTGGGCCCGGTCTACATCTTGTGGTCACCCTCTTCACAGTTAGCTGTTGCCTTTGCTACCCCTTTTGCTTTCCTAGGATGGAGGCTGGCCTTCCCTCCGAAGCCCCCAGATGGCCTCCCAAGCCTGAGCATGGGCTAGTGAACTCAAATCCACCTTGCACCGAGGCACTGTGTGAGCTGAGTGGTGATAAACGGCTAGAGCTGGGTCGAGCAGCAGGACTGTCAGCACAACGGACAGCTCCCCACAGACCCAGCCACTTCCAGGGCTTGCAGGCAGGTCCAGGCCTGCAGGGTTCACTGGTGTCCCTAGCCCAAGGACAAGAATGAGGCTGACAGCTGACATTTACTGAGTTATATGTGTCAAGCATTGTGCCAAGATTCTTACGGCATCATTTGGGCTGGGACCCTATCAGTTGACCTCAGCACTCCACTTCTTTGCAGTGTGCCTGTCTATACTGCAGAAGCTGGGAAGCAAAAAACTTTATGTCCAGCACTCCCTGTAGCTGGGGTCTGGATACGGATTAGGTTCCACCAGCAAGATGCACTGGGAAGGCGGAAGGGAGGCGAAGGTCATCCCCTGTTCTCAGGCTATGCTGGCATACTGAGCAGGAAGGCAGAGCACCCAGGCTCTGGCTCTCAGGGGCGGAGTGCCACAGGTGAGCAAATGTGAACCCTGGCTCCAGGAATGACCATCAGGCGTGGTGAGGTGTGCACTGTCTGCTGGGCCAGGTCTGCTCCTAGAGTCCCAGTGCTTTTGAGGGCATGGAATTCCCTGTTCAATTCTGTTCAGGCTTAAAATCCTCAAAATGGTTTTTATTTCCTGTATAGAACCTAGGTAGATCCAATTATCCTTTCTTCTTCTGGATGAGGAAACTCAGGTCCAGGATGGTCAGAAAACCTGCAAGATCAGGAATCCAGCAGCCCTGGAAATGGGAGCCAAGCCCAGGGCAGCTGACTGCACAGCCTCTCTGAGGCACTCTGCTATGTGCTCTCAAGGCAGGGAACACTGATGCCCAGGAACAGCAAGCAACGAAGGCCCCAGGCCCAAGACAGAAATAGAGAGAGAAAAAGACACGCAGGCAGGGAACAACAGAACCACGCTGCAGGGCTGGGCAGTGGCAGCCCCTGAAGAGCAGAAGGAGAGGATGTGGATCTTTGTGTTGGGCTGGGCACGGCACACTGCCTCCTTATGGTCATGCAGATGGATATCATTTATTTCTCACAAGCAACCTGAGGAGCAGAGATCAGTATCCCCATTTTACAGGCAGACAACCTGAGCTCAGAGAGGTTAAGCAACTGGCTAACGTCACACAGGTGGAAAGACCCAGGCAAAACTGGAACCCAAGTGTCCAGCTCCACTACAGTGTATGGACTCTAAGGCACACTTGGGGAGAGCAGCTCTGCCCATCCCAGGAGGACTGCATTTTGGGGGTACGGGAAGATGGGTGTCCCCCTGTCCTGCACTACATTTCAGGGTAGGAGAGCTGCAGTGGCCACTCAGACTCAGTCCAGAAGCTGCTCGAGCTGGCTTCCCCAGCGCATCTGTCTTGACCCTGGCACCTACAGGGCTCCTCTCCCTACCAGGAAGCTTCTGTCCCTGGCCCCGAGGCAGGGAGTGGTCCAAATGCAGCTGGGCAGCTGTG